ATGAGCACAGTGGCACAGCAAAACATTACTGATGCCTAGGAGAAAAATAGACACAAACAATCGGAAATAAGAAAAATCAGACATACCACATAAAAATGGCCTGAGGGAAAGGCATTTCCGTAAGTATCAATATGTCTACTGGAATAAAATGTTGCAGGCAGCATCTAGCCATAAAATACAAGGAATGGAATATCTCAAAGCAATAGAATAAGCAATATTCTATTGCATATAAACATATTGATCCATCGTGCAGACAACATTGTCACTTCAGACCAAGCCAAAACGGACGAACATAGACACCTGCGAGGTGCCCTGGCTAAATGTGGGTACCAAAACTGGACTTTCAACAAAGCGCTCAAACCTTCAGATCAGTCTAAGAAAACCCAAAAGTGCAAACCATTGACCAACAAAAACAAGGCCAACATCACTATTCCATATGTCCAAGGAGTATCTGAGAAACTCCGACGGATCTTCCAAAACTTCAACATAGCCACTAACTTCAAACCTCACTCAACCCTCAGACAAAGACTGGTACACCCTAAGGACCGACCTCACAAGGGTATCAAGGCGAATGTTATTTACAGACTCAAATGTGAGGAGCCCAATTGTAACAACACCTACATCGGAGAGACAAGTCGACCGCTTAAAGTAAGGTACAAAGAACATTGCCGACCTAGTGCCAACGGCTACTCCTCAGCTATTTTCCACCACCTACAACACAACCAGGGTCACTCTTTCAAACTCGAGTCCACGGATGTCTTAGACCGCGAAACACGCTGGTGGGAACGGGGTGTTAAAGAGGCAATATATGAAAGAATGTACAACCCCACCCTCAACAGGGAAGGGGGGCTACGGGTCGATCTTTCCGGCACTTGGGATTTGGCACTCCCAGCCCCGAGGACAGACAACACTTAAGCTCCTGTCCTGTATAACAGGAGCTTTCAGACTAATTTGCATCATCTTGTCTTGACTTGTCTGACTTTTGTTCCTTTTTCGACTTCCAAAAATTTGTCTTCACTTTATTTGCATATCAACAGGTATATAAACCTGCTTTCCCCTCTGGTCTCTCAGTCACTGACGAAAGCTAGTGGATACTAGCTGAAACGTCTGACGTTTTCAAAATCATATCCAGTTGCTTGAGTAACTGTTTTTTGGCATATCGTATTTCCTGGATGTCTAACCTTCATCAACGTATAAGCAAGTTTCTGACAGGGTTAGAAATAGCCATAATTTTGCCTGTTATTATTCATTACCCGAAGGAGATCACATGTCAGGAAATTTTTTACATAATACATAATTAGTAAATTACTTGTTTGTTTTCTTTCCCTCAGCAATTTTTTGTTTCGTTCTATTTTCCAAACAGGGCTATGACCAAACCTTACTGCAGAAGTGAAGAAGGGAAGTGAACACAAAGTTTCTGCAGACATACCTCAAAAGTAGCTGAGATGCAGGGACAGAGCGACATCCCTTCATTTCCACCGTCCCAGCCGGTTGTACCTGGGAGAGACAGGATTGCCTTTCCTTTGGATAGTCATGGTACAAGATTTCAGATTTTATCAATCAATCAATCCATCAATTAAACTTTATCGCACAACAAATGTAACAGGTAGTGAGGTGCAATCATGACAAGATCTTGAGAACAGAAGTATTTAATATAACTAATATCTTTGCTGTTGACTACAACAATGCTAAGAAGTTCTGTATAACAGCCTAAAAACAATCAACGTCATGCTTTTGCTGTTGCGATTGTTGCATATAAAAAATTTCTCTTCAGATGTTTTATGGTGCCTCTTCAAATTCCGTATTCCGAGATTGCGACAAAAGGTAATTTCGAGAGCCAGCAAATAACTCAATAAGTTTTCACAATACTACAACACCTAAAAAAATTGATATTACCTAACTATAAATGCAACATCTCTTTTTCCCTCGTAGGACCACGATCGGGCATTCTTTTAGGATTTGGAGCTGAGGCTCCATCTTTCCCCATGGAGGGACTTGGTTTCCCTAACTGGCCACAGAACAGAGATCAGCTTTATGGAACAACAGCAGTGCCAAACTTCTCAATGCTGCAGACATTTAACAATGGTGGTGGGAGTGGTGTACCTATTGGACTACCCTATGTAAATGGGAAGGAGAATCAGAGACCTTTGGATGGCACTACAGAAGGTGTATTGAGACAGCACGCTTGGAACAGGTTGGATTCAGGAGGCCAGATTACAGACTCTAGCGTGCTGTCTTCACACAGTGTTGGAGGGACAGGCCTTGAAGGAGGACCACTGCCATTGTCACAAAAAGGTACATTTGGTATACAATCACATAGTTCACTTTCTACATGATTACAGTATTGGATCCTTAAACCTCGTCTGAGGGTGGTTGCAGGTGTACTCTGTTAATGTAAGCATTATCACTTAAAACTAGAATAACTTCAGTCTTATATTAACTATATCTACAAACTTTAAGCCTAAGTACTAGTAGTAGTAGTAGTAGTAGTAGTTTTTTTTGTTGTTGTTGTTTTTATTAACCGAATTTAACATCATTTTTCCCCAACCGGGGGTTAGACGTACTTGCACCAGGTACAAGTCTTTTTTTGAAGCAAGATTTTTACGGAGTAGTACATTATTAATACATGTGTACTATGAGTATGACTTGCAAGATCACAAAAGATCTGAAATGTGGTTTTTCAAATGATTGATTGCAAATTTCATGTATGCAATTATTCCATTTCCATGCTTAATGGAAGCAGGATTTGTCAGAGGAAGAATTCCTTTGACCACAGGTATACTACATATTGTTATTGCAATAAAAGTTCTTGTACTTGCGATGGATGTGTTGATGTTAGCTGCTCTACTCTTATCAATAGAATTACTGGTACCGGTATGCTTATATTGATGTTGGCTGTTAAAGACAAGGAAAAGTGTGTCAAACTGAAACCTGTCTTGTTCCCACAGATGCAGACATGTTGGAGCATGTGCGAGCTAAACAGCACGCCCACCTGATGAGCCACATGCACCAGCTGCAGGCGCGGCAGAGGGAGCAACAGGAGCAGTTGCTACGGCAACAGATGGAGCAGCTGGCCCGCATCCACCAGGAACAGGAGAAAATGAAGAGCCTGTTGGTGGCTCAGAGAACAGGCCACTGGGGAGGTCAGTTTCAGAGTTTCCCTGGATGTATCTTGGAAGTTGGAGGAAGATTTATAGAGCTGCTTTAAGATGATTTTAACTTAAGAAAATTTTAAGGAACAGAAAATAGCCCACAAATTCTAAAAGGATTCCTTCATAGAATAAAGGTAGTGACTGTAAAATCAAGTTATGTGTCATTTGTGCAGAATATTTTCAGCACTACTTATTCTTGAAAGAAGTACTTTCAAAATACATGATTGTCATAGTAGTATAGAGAATTCATGACAATAGTAGCTGGTAGAAAAACGTCTACATGCCTTCAACCATACAGAAAGGAGGCATCAAAACATTTTGTAACTATTACAGCCAGTGAATGTTTTACATTTCAAAGTTACATGAGACAAGGAGATCCAACTCTCACCTTACCTTCTCAAACTGAAAGCCTTTTCTTTTCTGTAGGTGAAGTCAAAGCTCCCTCATCTCCAAAGCAGAGGAGCCCACCTCGCTCCAAGTCCGGCCTGAGTCCCACAGGGAGTCGACAGCCCCTCAGCCCCTCTCACAGACCGTGGGGAAACAGAAGTCCCCCCAGGCCTGGCCCTGGTTCCAGCCCCAGTAGACCCAGGAGCACCCTTCCTGATGCTTTAGCTAGAGCATCCATGTCTCCCAGAAGGCTGGCTCAGTCATTTCTACCTCAGGTAGGCTATGATACCTTTTCATACTTAACTGGTATCTCTACTGTATGATAGTGCAATGATATTTTATAAGGTAATTTAATGATACTTAAAGGCACAGACAATTATAGTATTGCTTTCAGGGATAGCTGTCATAATATACATTCAGGGCTCAAAATCCTTTTTTTGTGGATACCTGCACTGGTGCAGGTAACATTGAAAATTACTTGCACCTTTCAGAATTTTACCTGCACCTTTCAGAATATAGGACCATAGTGGATTTTTACTAAAAATTTGTTTTCAGAATTCATGATATTTCGAGCCCAGGACATGGTACTAATTTGTAGTAGGATACAGAGTTTGGACATACATTGTAACATTCAGTTACATTGTAAGCTATGCTACTGGAGTAGTATATATAGATTTAAGTGTAAAAAGTAAAAAAGTAAAATGATAAAGAAAAAGAAAGGTTTGGTCTTTACAAATTGTATTTCAGTGATTTTCCAATCGTTCTGATAGAGATGTTTTGAAGTTCATAAAGAAAGTGGACTTACCCGCAACTTTTGATAGGATGATTTGCCAGAAGCAAGAGAAGCCCATGATCATGTCGGACCCACCACCAGGACACAGGCTCCTGTCCCTGCTCCTGACAGTGACCTGGGGTCAGTCATGGATGACGGGCCCCCTCTGGAAATGGAGGGGGTGTTTCCACTGCCTGAAACAGCCTCAGAGATGGAGGATGACCAATCAGAGGCCCATGTCCAGGTCAGTTAGAAATACTTGTTTGTGTACATAATTCACATTTATTTGCTTTATTACTTTAGTCTCACTGGATCAGCCTAATTTAAAGAAGACAAGAGTGACTGTTCATAAGCTCTAGATGAGAACAATTCTTTGTGTACTATTTTAAGTTAAACTACAATCAATTTTTCTTTCATTTAAAATTGAATGCATGATCTTCCCACATCTCATTGATGCGTGGCCATTTATTTGATGCTGAAACACCATTTGAAACCCTGTGGAAGAAGTCAAACTGCTTCGTAATTACTAAATTAGTAGGCAGATAATTGTAATACAGTAATATATCTTTTGCCACTCAGGAACAAGGAAATAAAGCGGATGTAAAGGTCAACACAACACCACCAAGAAGTCCTCCTGAAGACAGCTCTAACAACAGTCAGGTAAGTCCAGACAACTTGTTTTGGGAGAAGGAACTTGTTTTGAACTACACTGTATGTGTACAGGGAAACATTAAAAGTGTGTGGACATTGCTGTTACATGTTAGCTTGGTTGTATTGACTTTCTGAGAAAGTGAGGCTTTCTTAGTATCTTACTGGTAACTTGATGTTACTAGTAGTAGGGATTGAAACTTTGCTGAGTTACATTGTATAATGTATGATGTGTATCCAATACAAATTTTGGGCTGGGATAAGCCCACTTTTCTGAGATGCACTGCTCCATTGCAGGGCTCTGGAACTCCTGAAGATGAGAGACCTATCAAACCACTTTCTGCTGGTGAGTACCAAATCAAGATCTTATATGTTACTTGTTGGGAAATCACATTTTATGAAATTCAACCTGCAAGTTAATTCTTGTGTATACAAATGTAAGATTTCTCAGCTTGAATTTCACTTGTGATTTTTTACAGGGAGGCCAAAAACTTTTGAACAACTTCTTGAGGAGAAATTACATCTAGAAGAATCTAAGGTGAGAATTCGCACTAGACAAGAATTCTGTAGGGCAAACTTAAAGCATACATTTGTACATCTAAGACATTTATTCTGTACTGCTTTTTTGCTTTCATTCTATTAAAACGTAACAATTTTTTCCTTTAAATATTTTATAATAAGTAGAAAAATTTCCATATTTTTTTAAGTTTGACAAATTGAGTATGTAACATGATTTTTTTCATTACTATTACAGAAGGATACAGAAAGTGTAGATGGACCCAAACAGAAAGCCACAAAGAGACCATTTCTGAAGAAAGGCCAGGGTTTGGCTAGGTTTGGGCTGACTCAAAACAGGACAGCAGCCAAGACCACAACCCCCTCTGAGGATGTACAGGAGAACAGAACCACTAGTCAGACAGGGAGGTCTACAACTCAAAAAACAAGTACCCTGTCCACCCCTCCAACCTCCAGCTCAATGAGACAGCCCAAAAGGCTCATCACCACTCTTAAGCTCAAACCCCAGCCAGTTAGGAAATCTGTAGCAGGTGATTGTTTTTTTTTTGTAACAAACATGCTGGTTCGTTATAGCCTGGATATAACCTCTTGGTTATTTCTTTTATACTTCATACGTGATAACAGTCAATGCAGCAGGTGACATTTAACATACACCTATATGTACATTGTACCTATAAACCCAGTGCAGGTAAGGTACAGGTACACATCAGAAATACCTGCACAGTCCCAATTTTACCTGCACCCAGTATTTCGAGCCCTGTGTTGACAAACAAACAGGATACAAAATTCACTACATATTGAATGCATTTTTTAGTGCTTTTGTGATATATTCTTTTGAAATGAACTGCTTGTTTTTCAGTTTGAGAAATAAAATATTTTTCATCTTCTTTCCTTTGCAGTGACCAAAGAAAGGGTTGCTTCCCAACCTACTGTAGCAAAAGAACCAGTAGATAATAGTGATTTTCCCCATGGGGGAAATGTAATAAGACAAGACAAGAAAGATGAAGGAAAGACTGAGGATGTTCATGGCAGCCCCACCTCTATTGCATCATGGGATATGTCCTTCCAAACCAGACTTCAAGAGTTGGAGCAGAAGGAACAGGTAAAGAATTCAAACTACTTCTCACAATGTACATGTATCATTGAATTGTTAGACATTCACTGTACATGTAATGGTTACAAAGTGATGGACAAAAATTTTACCTAAAAATCATATTTAGCAGACAAAAATCAATGTGTAAAGATATGGAAAGAGATATCATTAAACGAGGCTTAGTCTGCCAGCAAAACTTGACCCTCAAAATACAGGAAATAGCATTTTAGAGCATCTAGATTTTAACATTTTGCAGGGAGAGCATGCCCCAAGATGTGCAAAGCAAAATTGCAATGACGGAAAAAATTTTAGACTGGCTAGAACACTGCCTCCAAACCTTCAGTCTGAGTGTAATTGACTTTTTTCTACCAGCCATTGTTTTGAAAGTAGCATCCATACCATGAAGTGAAGTCTATCTTTGTTTATAATAAATGTAGTTGGAAGATGAGGAGCTGAAGGAGTTTGAGTTGTTGGAGAGAATGGCAGCGAACACGTCTTCTTTCATGGGCAGCACCCCTGCCAGGGCCAACATGTACAGGAGTCAGGGGCCACCTGGGGTGAGTTTACAGGCAACATGTTTGCCTTCATCAGAAGGGTATGTTTTCAGTTTGGGCTTGGTGTGGCTGTGGGTCTGAATGTGTGTCAACATTATAACTCGAGAAGTTGTGGATTAGGGTTGGCAAAAATCCCTAAATTAGGGTTACCAAGAAATTCACAAAAACACTAAATAAGGGTTACAAAGAAAGTCTAAATTAGGGTTTGCAAAAACCCTAAATTTGGGTTACCACCAAGAACAAACTCTGAACAGGAGTGTGCTGAAGTAATCTTTCTGGACACATTTCAAGTTGCACAGTGTACATGTAGATGAAGTTATCAAATGTTTTTTCCTTTCACATACTTATTATGTAATTACTAAAACTGCTTTTTTTTTCTGCATGCAGTCTTTGAGACAACCACTGATAAAAAGTGATGAAGAAGACCAAGAGATGAATGAAGATGGAGAGGATGTCAATTTGGAGCAGACTTTAGAGGAGGGAGACAGTGACTTGGACCAAACCATCAAGGAACAGCCAGAGGGAGGGGACTGGGAGCAAGATGAAGAGAAGGAAAGCAGAAGAGATTCTCCACAGGGGACAGCAGTCTTGGCTGAAGAAGCAGAACTGTTGCAGGAAGAAAAAGATGAAGAAAAAGAAGATGACAGGGATTCTGAAAGGTGCGTTGATAGATCAAAGTTGTTCACAACAGGCATGGCATCGTACAAAATTAGACATAAAAAGCTGGGAGTTCTCAGGTTAATTTGTTACCATCACGAAAGTTCATAATTCTGTGTTGGTAGTTAGGTGTTTTAAAGTCAAAACTTTTGTTCCAACACAAAGGATTGTTCTCACCTAGAGCTTTTGACTACTCACTCGGGTCTTCTTCAATAGACTGACCCTGTGTTTCAGTCCTGAAAAAAATTAGGGTCGGTAGGTAGGGATTATCTTTTTTTCTTTCTTTTTTTTTTTTTAGACTTTGGCAATCTCTAGTGATCATCCAACTTATACAATACCGGCACAGTTTAACAATTTTAAAGTAAAACTTGCATGAGGACACTTTCATTTTCAATGTTAATGCTAGCATTGGAAAACCGATTGTACAATGTTTCATCACTCAGGTATCAGATCATGGAGCTAGAAAAGGTCGACCAGCTCGAAAAATTTATGTCCCTTGCAGGGATCCACAAAAAAAGTTTAGGGTCGGCAGTTCTGTCTAGGGCCGGTCGGGAAACAGGAAACACAACATTTTTTCCTAGGCCTTACCTCTTTTCTCTACTTTGTTACCCCAGTGTCCATGATGATGTAGCAGCAGTGTCCTCTCAGGCCTTGAACGTGGATTTTGATGATGATGACAGCTGGGGAGACATGAGTAATAAAGGACTAGAGGAGGATGACCAGGACACCACTCTGGATGACAGCATCATATCAGGCGCTCCTCCACTGGACACCTCCACACCTCCAGCCAAGGCAAACAGGCCAGGTGGGTCTTTCCTCTCCTTGTCCAAGTTATTCTCAAAATTATGATCACATACATGTGTAAATCTAGTAAACCAAAGACAAGCATAGACATTTTTGGTGCAAATTTTACATGTTAACAAAAGATAAAACGTATTGTAACGGACGTTTAATGGCAATATTCCAGTTATGTCTATAGAGACTAGAAATTGTATTGATCATTCGTCATTGTTGCCATACATTGTACCCTCTGTACATCTTTAGAACAAAAGTTCATATATCATTCTCAAATTTGGTCTTTTTGTTGCATGTTGGCAGAATGCATGTTGCATGCTGGCAGAATGTACTGTACCTGCGTCAGAATTTTGCCGGTTGCAGACGATATCTTTTTGAAAACAACATTTAAAAACTATAGGCAGGATGTCTTCCTTAAATACATGAGTACAACCTTAAAAGAGGAGTCGTGTGGCATAATGACTGTCAGTGAGCATTTGGCTTGGAACCAAGAGGTCCGGAGTTCGAATCCTGCCATGCCACCGATCTTGTGCCCTTGGGAAAGGCACTTTGCACAAATTTCCCCACTTTTGCTCAGGTGAAAAGGAGTTTGTTTGCTGCCCGTTTTTGTGTTTGTCTGCGTTGGTGGCGGCATCAAAATATGTTGAAAAAAGTTGACTGTGCCGTCGCCATGTCTTGTAATAAATGTTTGAATAGAAAAAAAGTGTTCTGCCGAAGTGCCATGCACAATACATTTTGGGTTTCGTGCAGGTGCAGTCTGTTCTGCCAACATGCTGGTCTTCCTGATAACAACTTGTGAGCTAGCCTTGTAATTACAAAATCTAACTACTTTTAACATATATTCACTGCTTCAAACATAGGTTTTTCTAGAAGAGCACAGAACAGCCCACCGCCTGATTCTGATGAAGTGCCAGCTCCTGTCAGCATCGAGCCCCCACCCACATCTGAACTGGTCGCCAAGTTCTTCCCAAAACTGAAACCTGCCAAAGCTAAAGTGTCTGCTGAACAGGTGAACAACTTCATGTACATGTACACATTGTACAGTCAATATATGCCATTAAACTAAGCTCAGTCTACCAGCAAAATTTGCCCCTCAAAAGGCAAGAAATAGCATTTCAGAGGGTCAAGATTTCAAAATTTCCCTCGACCCCCTAGGATTGCCGCATTGTCACTTGACATGATTTGAGGTTATGTCAAATAAAATTGGAATGATGGAAAAAATTTCAGGCTAGCTCAAACACTGTTGGTAATTGATATACATATTGTGCCATGTTTCAGGTGTTTCATGGCTCTCCCACCATATCATTCTAAAATTCAACTATTTTGTGTCTTTGCCAGGAGGAACATCAGCACAAGCTACATATAGCTACAGAGAAGTCTGTTGGGGAAGGGTTCCAGTCTAAAGTACTGAGAGACAAGCTAGCTCAGCTGGAGACAGAGATTGAGAGGTTCAGACAAGAGAACACTGCTCTGGCAAAACTCCGGGCTGACAGGGAAGAGGTATGCATAGTATTGCTCCTTCTCTGCGTGTGTGTGTGTGTGTGTGTATGTCTGTGTTTCTGCATGGCCTTCAGGAAAGTTTGTAATGGATATGTTTGGGGTTCAGTTCCAGAGGGGAAACTCATTAATCACTTCTACATCTGGTAGTGCTCACTGTTTTCAGGTGTTTTTGTGTTACATGACCTCCTTGACAGCTGACAGCTGGTGTTGTTTCCCTTGCACGGTAAAGAAAGAGTTGTAGACACCATGGTGAATAAGAAGAGGACACAGTCAGCATCACACAAGATAGAAAGATTTCATGGAGGTCTGATATCTCTGAATTCTTGTTTTGCATGTGCAAACTTTCCATGACTTGATTTTCTTACAGGGGATGCAACGTCTGCAACAGGAGATGACAGAATTCGAGAAACTCAAATCAGACGAACTGAAAAGGCTGGAAGAGTTCAGACAACAGGAGGCAGCAAAACTCAAGTAGGAGACTTTATTTGTATTTTGGCTTTTATTCCTTCAGCTGCTATTGCTATCAACTATTGAATTACCAAGGGCAGGGAAAGTGTAGCTATGAGAACACTATTCAGCTCCAAGGACAGGGAAAGTGTAGCTATGAGAACACTTTTCAGCACCAATGACAGGGAAAATGTAGCTATGAGAACACTTAAGCACCAAGGACAGGGAAAGTGTAGCTATGAGAACACTTAAGTACAAAAGGACAGGGAAAGTGTAGCTATGTGAACACTTTAGCACCAAGGACAGGGAAAGTGTAGCTATGTGAACACTTTAGCACCAAGGACAGGGAAAGTGTAGCTATGAGAACACTTAAGTACAAAAGGACAGGGAAAGTGTAGCTATGAGAACACTTTAGCAACAAGGACAGGGAAAGTGTAGCTATGAGAACACTTTAGCAACAAGGACAGGAAAGTGTAGCTATGAGAACACTTAAGCACCAAGGACAGGGAAAGTGTAGCTATGAGAACACAACTCAGCACCAAGTACAGGGAAAGTGTAGCTATTAGAACACAACTCAGCACCAAGTACAGGGAAAGTGTAACTATGAGAACACAAATCAGCTCCAAGGACAGGGAAAGTGTAGCTATGTGAACACTTTAGCACCAAGGACAGGGAAAATTTAGCTATTAGAACACAAGTCAGCACTAAGGACAACACTAAGTAAATATTTCTAGAAGAAAAGACATAATCTTAAGTATAGTTTTCCTTTCCTGTTCCAGGAAGGAAAGGAAATTGTTTGAGCAACATAAGAAGGCACTTCTCCAACCTGACAAGAAGGAACGTGCAGAAATAGAAGAACTCAGGGAACAGGTAGGAATGACTATCAGGTACCATTACAGTAGGGCCTAGGAAAATTTATGTTGTGTATCCAGCTTTGGTCCTGAAAAACACTAGGGCTGGTTGGTAGGAATTTTCTTAGATTTTGGATAAATGATCCACTGTAAGTAAAGTTTAAAGATGCATCGGGACTGTCTCAACGACCTGTCCACCTGTTTGCTTGTGGACAAATATTACACCTGATTTATTGAGGAAAATTGCTTCTGAAATTGCGTTAAATGTTGTTTCAGAAATTCAGAGGGTTTGAAATTGCCAGCAGTTGATAAAATATGGCTAGGGTTGGCAGCTTGGCTACTAGTAGGTTCAGTTGGGAAACCAGAAACACAACATTTTTTCCCAGGTCCAGTTAGTTCTGGAGTACTTAGTATACTTAGTTTCACTTTGGCACAGAACCAGGACAGTTCCTCCATAAAGCTCAGTCTGACCTGTTTGACACAGGCTTTATTCAAAGGTCTTTTAAGTTGAATCGAATCGGATGTATATTGCAAGACCTTTAACCTTCCTGCCCTGCAGTTGCATATTTCTCAGAAAAACACATAGTCACAGACATGCAACATGTACCTACTGTACATACCAATGAAGACTGCACTAAGCTACATTGTATACAAAATTCAGTTTTTCTCAGGAAGTTACAATCAGATAGTTTTGCTTTTTATGGTTTGTCCAGAATACATGGGAGTGCTTCAGGTGTATATTATTTACACTTGAAAAATCTAAGCCTACAACCTTCTTTTTCTTCATAGTTGATCGTGAGTCAGAAAATCTTTTACCCACTATGAGTATGAATTAAATCAATGAACAAAACATACTGGTACATGATGTAGAACTTTGTAGTTAGTCCGTAGCATGTTTGAAAAAGGGTTTCCTCTTTCCAGAAATATTTGCAACTTGAATGTTCTTACCTAATGTTAAAATACATCTGTTGACTATGGATTTCTCTGTTTGATGCACAGTCATCTATGCCTCAACATTTCTATACAGCAGTTTCCCATTGCAACACAAGTGCGTTATGACCACATGCAGTGGGTTCTGAAGTACATGTAATGTTTGCATGCATCTCAGTGCCCAACATTTCTCGATCTTGCTTCTTGGTGTTGTTCTGTTCACTCTGCTGAGTTTCTGGTGCACATTTTGGCCAACACGTACATTTTTTGGCACATGCACACAGGCCAGATAGGAGTTTACAAAGCTGCTGTCCTATAGCTTCCCTCAGATCGGTCAGCCGATTGATTCCTGCAAGTGGGTTGACTACTGAGTTTAAACAGAAGACCAAAATTGCCCAGGGCATGACTTGCTTGTGTAGGTCTTTCTCTGGGTATGTTTTCTGTAGTATCCATTTGACGGACATCACTATCAAACCCAACAACCAGAAGACTACTGCGACAATGGCAAAGATCATGACTACCCGGGTCTTACTTATGGTGCTAGATTGGAGAATTTTATTATCTTTTTGTTGAAGTTTAAACTTCTGCTTATTAGACCTTGTTGCCGACTTGCTGCTTGTACTTCGGTCACTGCTGGTTGTTTGGTTCTGTTCCTGTTTCCTTTCTCTGAGGGGAAAGAGCTGTTTCCTCAGTTTTGCTAATTGTCGTTGTTTTACAGCTTTGTACACAATGATGTTCACAAACAGTAAAACACCAATGAGTAGGAGTATCAGAGTAGTATTGAGTATGATGTACCCCGAGGGTAGAATGCCGAGGCAATGTCCTAGTCTCAAGTAATGTTCCTCCATACAGTTCCATCCCATCAAAGTCGAGAATGCAACCAAAGTAACGATGACCCACGAAAACACTATTGCTACCCCGGCGTTGCGTCTGGCATAAGTAGCCTGATTGTGGTAGAATATCGGATATTTTACAGCCGCATACCTGTCCATGGTCAGTAAGTTCAGAGCAAAAGCTGACATAATCTGGGAGAACATGGTGACAACCCTCACCTGTAGGACATTGTATGGTTTGTAGTGGTCTATGTTGTCGTAGGCACGCCAAAGAATCATCGCACCCGCCAACAAGTCAGTAACGGCAAGGTTTGCGACATAAATGTACATAGGCTGGTGGAGTTGTTTCTTTGAGATGATTCCCCACAGCACAAGAATGTTGCAGACTACAATGGTGGCTCCGACAAGGACATAAAGGACACTCAGTACCTTGCTGAAGGGAGCTTCTTCGTACCAGTGGCAGGTGTTGACGGCTTCGTCATAGGACATGTGTTGTTTCAGAACGTTCCAGGCGTAGCACTCGAATGGGTCTGCATGGTCCAACTTGCTGGGCCCTGGCACTGCAGCTGAACTGTTGTTTGACATCTTCTCAGTCTCTCCTTTGCCTCAGATTTCTTGTTCCATCCTGTGTTCTTTCAGTTTTAGGAGAACCATTATTATTATATTCTCTCTCTCTATCTGGTTTATCGTCGTTTGCTCTCCATAGCCAAGGGTTAGACGTGCTTGCACACTGATGCTGGGGCATTATGGTAGCTCACCATTTGCCTTGTCCCTGTAAGTGGTTCATGGGCACAGCAAATGTCAATACCCCTGCAGGTTAGCGTCTCAGCTACTTCACCTGCCAGCCACGCAGTGTTCCAACATCAGGTTATGCAAGCCATGATGTTTAGGTACTCCTTTGGTATGGCATACTCCAGGAATGGTGCTCACTCACTCACTGTCCGGTTTATTGTCTGTTGTTCCCCGTCTTCCAAGGGTTAGACGTGCTTGCACTGCACAACTGAGGCTTGATGGTAGCTCGCCACTTGCCTCTGTCCTGTGGGTTGAAGTTATTCAAGTTCAAGTGGTGGAGGTCCTCCCTTATGTTGTCAAACCATTTCCTCCTTGGGCAAGGTACATATAAGTACAGGATTGTTTGGGTCTATTGCCAATGTTCTCCTCTCTGTTTCTAGCTGTCTGTATCACAAGACAGATACGAACTCAAGAGTTGTAGCTCTGTTTCAATTCCAGTCTGTCTGTCAGGTTGTTGACAGATAATTAAAATGAAAATCTGACCTGTTGCACAAATGTAAAACACATTACATGACCTGTTGCTTGCATGGCACTCTAGCTAGTACATCATCGTCATGTAATTGGTACCAGGGGGTAGTAATATTGATTTTCCCTCCAATTTGCAAATATACGTTGCACGATATCTTCAACACCCTTAGCCTCCCTAAGAGCACTCTGGCGTAGCTTTGTTATTTTCGCTACAATGGAACCTCGTAAGTGCATTTTTGGCGACGTCTCAGGGAGGAGCCTAATGGTACAGTATTGTGTGCAGTTTGCAAGAATCATAGTTGACAGATATGAGTGGCAAAGATGATGATGGCCCTTAGGTCAGGTTGCAATTATGGTTGGGTTCAGTCTGTCCCAGAGGGGGATCTGGTAGCCCTCTTTGTTTTCACCAGTGTTTGTTGTTACATGACCTCCTTGACAGCTGTTGTTTCCCTTGCACAATGACGAAAGACTTGTTGACACCATGAAAGTGAATGACACAATCATCATCACACAAGATCTGAATAATTCATGGAGGTCTGAGATCTCTGAATTCTTGCTCCCTTCTAGGTTCAGGAGTTGCAGGATGAGCTCCAGAGGAGGGAGCAGCGGTGGCAGGCCAGTCTGAACCGGATGAAGAACCAGCTCCAGGCGGCTCAGAATGAAAGCCAAGAGCTGCGGGAAGAACTGCGAATGATGGAGAAACACAGACTAGATGCCTGGAGTAAAGCAGAGACTAAGGTCAAGGGACAAAAATCTTCTTTTCTATTTGTTTGTCTTCACACAGGGTTCATTTAGGAACAGTCCATTTGTGTGGGAGGGGCATAGGTCTATTTTTGGTACGGGGGATGTGGTGAAGCCATCTGCTGCATTTGCTCCAGAGCAAATGTCGCCTTTCTAGTTTGTATGTTTGCTTTCATCACACCAAAACAAACACAGAATATTTCACCTCTTCACCCTTGCACGCTTTTTATGCATTTGTGTTAATCTTTCGGTAACTTTCTTTGGCACATGTTTATTGTCTACAGAAGAAGGATCATGCCCCAGTCAAGGCCTTCCAGAAGCAAAAAGTGACAAAGGAGATCTCTCCAAGTAAGGACGAAGAGAAGACGACTAGTGAAGACAGTGACAAGTCTCCAGAAATGTCTGCACCACCCAAATCTCAGCTTCAAAGTCATACCATCAAAGACCGGAAAGATAAAACTACAAAACATTTTCCCAAAGACGAGTTTGATTCCGATATCGATGCCATTCCCGAAGAAACTCCAAGGAAGATTCCGGTAGCTGTAGCGCTTGAGGAGCACCCTTCTGGTGTTAAGACGTCAGATGGTCCAAAGCCAAGGAGACCGCTACAGCGGAAGAAGGCAGTGAAGTTTGCAGGAGACGGGGATTTAAGCCTGGAAGATGAAGATTCTGATGGTGTGGAGCAGCTTCAACATGCAGATGGGAAGGTCAACCTTCATAGTTATTTATTTAGTTAATAATCATCTTCAATTCATATCTATTACTGCTGAATGGATGGCTCTATATTTAGCATAATTTTATCCTTTGTAATAGTTTGAATTGTTAGACTTAGAACATGTATGCATGTGTAATCCGTCCCAAAGGGAGAAAGTCATTAATCACGTCTACTTTTGTTAGCACTCACTATTTTCACAGGTGTTTTTTGTTACATGACCACCTTGACAGCTGGTGTTGTTCCATTAATGCACAATAAAGAAAGACTCAAGGTCCTGTCTTGTAGACACCATGGTGAATTAAAAGAGGACACAATCTTATCACAATTAAGATCTAGATATTTCAGACCTGATATTGGAGGCCTGAGATCTCAGTCTGAATTCATTTTTTGTTGATATTTTGGGACAGACAGAGAATGTACTGAAGGATGGAAGACGTGTCATCACCTTCAGTAATGGGACCAGGAAGGAGATCAGCGCTGACGGACAGACTCTCATTGTCACCTTCTTCAACGGAGACATTAAACAGATTATGCCTGACCAACGGGTGGTAAGTAAAACTAATACCACTGAGCTTAATAGCTACATTTAGGCAGGGGGGGGGGTAGACTAGAGCCCAAAAAGCAAGATGGATACCAGGCTAAGGTGCATTTTACTGTACGCAATATTTTGGTTGTTGATGAGCAGTATGGAATTTGATAATTGCATTTATGTGAGCACACTGTCACTTTTAAATTGTACAGTGTATGAGAGTAGATCAGTTTGGTGGATGTTCGAATATAAAATTGGCAACACAACATTGGAATTATGGAGTAGAAGCTTTTTTTTAACAACTGGTAGTCATTGTATGATAAAAACTATTGGAAGGTAGATACTCATTTCAAATCGCCAACATTAGAGATTTTGTATAATTTACAGAACATGACGTGACATGGGGCATGCAAAAGTCTACATTTGTATGACCTTCAGTGATGTTAACAAACCTGTCCTTGGTGCTTATTCAAGTTATTATAACTGGTATGACTTACTGTTCAATGTCTAGAATGTAAATTGTGTTTTACCCTGTTCCAGATATACTATTATGCAGAGGCCCAGACCACCCATACCACATACCCTGATGGTCTGGAGATCCTACAGTTTCCCAACAGTCAAATGGAGAAACACTATCCAGATGGAACCAAAGAAATCACTTTTCCAGACCAAACTATCAAGTATCTGTTTCCCAATGGGGATGAAGAAAGTATTTTTCAGGTATGGTATTCTGGTTCTTTAATAGCTATTTATTATTGGTGGTACCAAAAATAAAGGGGCTCCTCGTATAGCTTGTTTTGGGGCTATTTCAAAGGTTAAAGTTGTATAAAATACTAAATTCCAATATCACTATCAGACAGATTTCCTCATCCAGAATATTTTTTTTTTGTTTTGTTTTGTTTTGTTTTGTCCTTTTACATGCCTTTAACAAATGTGTTTTCCAGGATGGTACTGTCCTAAGAGTGTCCAAGAGTGGAGACAGAGTTGTTGAGTTTGCCAACGGACAGCGAGAAATACACACTCTAAACTACAGGGTACAGCATTACTGATACATGTTGTATATGCCGTTCTATATTTTTAAAAAATAGCAGCTGAATCTGGTCAAATGGGTTTGTTTCTGTTGTGCGACCCTAGTGCGACCCTAGTGCTTGGTCATAGTGAGTAAATTCTGTGGGTCCAGTGGGTTGAGCCCCGTTTGGGCACAGTGTGAGGGATTGCATTTGTCCTTTTGGATGGGGACCTAAAGCCGTTGGCACAGTGTCTGTGTGAGCTTCAGCCTCCAAACCTCTGCACATCAAGGAACTCACCATACATGTACTAGGTCTTATCAAGTAGGGGTGACCTGGCTAAATGCAATCTATAGCAAAGCCTTTAATAACTGCACAGCTACTACCATGCTTCACCTCAATTGAAGATAATTTCTCTTTTATAGAAGATATTATGAATCAGACAATGCTGTATGATTTGACCTTATACTTTGTGTACAATTTGTTATTACAGAAACGGGAATATCCAGATGGAACAGTGAAGACTGTGTATCCAGACGGTAAGCAGGAGACCAGGTATAGCAACGGGCGTATCCGTGTCAAGGACAAGGATGGAAACGTCATTGTGGACAAGAAGATGTGAGAAAAGCCCAGTCCTTAGTTGTAAAGTTCAAGCTTTGTTCCAACACAAGAAGGGAACTCACCATAAATTTTCATTTGATGTCGTTAACCTTCGTCGGATGACTGTGATGCAATCGCTGACTCTCCGCGAAGTTGGAAGCATGATGACGTCAGGATTGCATCAAATGTGGAGGGAAGACAGAATCTACCACCATCACGGTTCACTTGAAAGCCCAGTCCTGCTAAGGCCCTGTCACACAGTCACGAGTTTGGCCTCCCAAACACTTTAAGCCAAACGCTCCAAAACCATGGTTAGGAATAGGTCGGGAGCAAGGCCTGGCTACTGTTCTGCTGTGCCAGCCGAATGCTTAAAAATGTTTAAAACATTTGAGTGTGAATGGGAGGTTTGGCCATGGTTGTCTTGTTTTCAGGAGAAATCGCGGCATGGTCGGCAGTCAAATTTGACTCAAATTTAAGTCAAATTCAACTTCATTCATATGGTGAGGTAGGCGTGGCCTAAATCTGGTCAGATTGCAACGGAACTTCAAACAACCGTGGTTGCTTGGTGATCAGGGGAAGGTGCTGAATATGTGATGGGCTTTAGATTCAAACATTTTGCATCTGCTTTAGATGCAAACATTTTGCATCTTCAGTCATCTACACTAGAAAAATTGTATGATATCCCTCTTACATGTAGCACACTGTTGTTACTGCATTGTTTGCCTACATGTATTTTAAAGGAAATAAAAATCATTCCAATGTATGATAAGGCATTAATTTCATTTGTAGGAATATGATTATGATTGTGCATACATGTACAGTGTAACTCTTTAAAAAAAGTAGTGAATTTGAGACTACATGTATATGTGGAAATATTCTGGTTGACTGTATAAAATGTAAGATTCAGTACATGTGCCATCAAAATGATATGCCAGAAAATCTCATTTTACAAAGCGCTGATTATTTTGTGTGGAAAAGTTTAATCTTCGAATACATTCCTATTATATTTGCATAATATATAAGAAAGTGTATACCAGTACATGTATTAGCTTGTTTCCAGGCATATAATAAAGATATGGAAAAGTTTGCCTTCATTTTGTGTGCATTTTGTACAAAATGATAACTATTGGTATACTGGTAGTCCGGTACCAACAATTTAGTATTATGCATGGTATTTCAACTCAGAAAGGAATCAAAAACAGCCACTACTACACATGTATTTCACTTGACAGGATTGTAGTACACGTATAGGTGGAATCTCCTTTTACTCTTACACATGTAGGTTGTTGTAGTTCCTTGTTTGCCACATCCTTTACTATCACGATGTGATGCAAAAAGCCCTTTTAGTTAAAGGTATTCATAAATTTCAGCTAGGGTAGCAAAACCGAAATTTCAAAGTCAATTTTCTGGCCATTCATTTAGTGTAACAAGTTGAATTATCTTATCACTTTGTATACTGATATCTGTCGCTGACAGAAAATGTTTATTTTGTATTGTAGGCCGGTTCTAACTTATTTATGGGTGGTACCAAAAAATAAAGAGATGCCTCACATAGCTCCTTCTGGGTTTTTTTCAACTGCTTCAAATATGAAATGATGACAAAATGTGCTAAGAAATGGTAGTAAATGTCAACATCAGACAGATTTCCTTATCCAGATTGAGAATATATTTTTGTTTGGCCGCCTTGCAATTTTGTTGGATGCTTTAAACTATGCAGCACCAGGGTCAGAAAACCTGCTGCATGACATTTTTAATCCCTGAAGGTCTTCCCTAATGACATGTTCTAACCTGAAGCATTTTTTTCCACAAAGAACTAAGTGTTCCAACCCGCATTCCCCCAAATTGAGACCTTTAAAAATATAACTTGAGGGTTGTCTTTACACCACCTGCTGGGAATTAATGAGTGGGTATTAAAGACCCATAAATTTAAAACTATGCATTGGCGTGTACAAAAAATGTAGCCCCATTTCGAATTACTCTGTGCAAAAGTGTATTTCCGACATCGATCATCTAGCAAATAGAACTGATATACATTTTTGTAGTGCGAATTTAAATTGGGTGATGTAAGTGACATTTACCACAAAAACACTTTTTTTATTCCAGTATTTAGTTCATAAATTGGTCTTTGGACGCATATATATTGTAACTATCCCCAAGGCTACAGTCTCTCAAAGTATTTCCACAAGTTTTTGAGAGTGGTGTTTCAAGCTGGTGTGTTACGCCGAAAGGCGGTTATACCGGCTATATAGATACAGATACATATACATGTAGTATAAAACTCAATTTGTCTCCCACTCTGTTCCAATCATCCCATTAAATACAATAGCTCGTAAGAATCCTCGTAAGCACATTTTGTTTATTTAGCGCGTTAGAGAAAGGTAAAACGTGTGTAATGGGGGAACAACAGGTCAAAAAGGTGACAACAGTGTCTTTTTGTCTATGTACTTTTATGCGGTATAATCAGGGGGTCTATGTGATATATGTTTATGGTCACATAATCTATTTGACAGGTTGGTTTGTGCAGACAAAGGCGTCGACGCGTCGTTAACCTACATTTTGTCCGCATGGTGCGTCGAATCTATGCGCCCAGGCAATTATTCTTTTCTCACTTGTAGCAATATTGTAGTCTCCACCAGGCTCATTTGCAGGCTGCATAAGCTGGCGATTAAAAAAGGAGCATTTGTAGACATTTGGCTAATAACTGTCCCACATTAGTACACTGCATCAGCATTACATAATTATTTTTTGTTAGTGTCGAAACAACCCCTAGGACGAGTCTTTTGTTTTCTGGGTGGCACCCCAAAAGTCCACCCAGAATCCTCTGGCAGTAATCGTTTTCTGTCACAACCATTTTTGGCATTTTCGCTCCATAAATGTCGATATCCATTTGGATAGCGTAGTTTCAACTTAGTATGTAGATAAGTGACTAGAATACTGACTTTAAAACACCTGTTTTTCAAGCCCTAAAAACTACATTGGGCACGGCCACCTTTAAAAACATCGATCCATGCATTAAACTAACGTTCTTCAAATACCGGCCTACAATTATCCAATCAGTTGAAGATACTTGTACATCTATCGTTGTACAGGGCAAAAGTTCACCGCGTCACGGGGCAAAAGTTCAGCGGGCCACGGCAGTAATTTGCTCGGGCGGCAGAGTAAGAAAACGCCGCCCATGATTTATGTCTGGAGACACCCGAGCCGTTCATCAGTCTCTATTAGCCACTTAATCACTGCTTGCACACGACCCGTCTATCCTGTAGTTTACTCGGTTGGGTGCTGTTCATAGGTAATAAGATACCTTGAAGAGAACATGATAGAAATGTTTCAGATACATTCATCATGAAGTCAAGGGGTGGTGTAGCAAAAACCAGTATATCGGTATATTACACTACGCAGTGTTGGAGATGCATAGACTTAGCTTTCTCTCTAGCTATCCGTAGATATTATATGCAATAAAATAAAGATTCATTGTATATGCCGTTTAATTTGTGTTGAATATTTGGCATCCTGTTATTAGGTATTTATGTATCAAATTTAAAGGTATTTTCAATACCAATCGTAATAGTTCAAATGAGATTAAATGGTGTTCTAGTGTCTGATTTTAGATTGTTGATGATACACTACATGTAAGTTTTTCTGTCTTCTTTTCACCAATTTGTCGTTCTTGCCATCAGTTATTTGCCAGGATAATAACTTCCAGTTTTTACGGGAAATTAGTAGTACGTGGGTATATGACAAAGAATGACACTCCTATCATTTATTATGTGTGTACATTGTACGTGTGAACCGTCATGTATGTATGTCTTCAGTCTTTTCAGGTCACTGACCAACAAGTGTGGCGTACGTGCGTGTGTGTGGGTATAACTTCAGATGATTAATCATCTTCTATCTACAAATGCAGCTGTCCAAAGCGTCACATCGGAAAATGCCGAAAGATATTTTTAAGTTGATTAAAATTATAACAAGATTTTGAAGATAACTCTTTGTGCCAAAATATGTTATGACACTGTCTACGTCGATGAAGGTTAGACATCCGGATAATACGATACGCCAAAAAGCAGTTACTTAAGCAACTGGATATGATTTTGGAATTTTATCTGTTCTACCTGTTATGAAACTGTCTATTTGGGGAAAAAACACGTTAAAAATCCCACCACACTTATTGAAAAGAGTAGGGGTCCTTCCCGGTATGAGTGGTTCAAACCTTACAGTGGTTCAAATCTTACAGTCTTACAGTGTTGACATCTTGAAGAGATAATGAGGTAGATATTCATAAAGAAAGATATTGATGCCACAAACTTTATTGTCGTCTTCAAATATAGACTTGTTTGAATACAAACTTCTAGACTTGGATTATACTACAAAATTCATCGAGAAATTTGACCGTGTACCAGTACTATATAGGCTACACAATTCATCGTACAATGATTGCAATACAACCCTGTATAATACATTAGGCATCAGCACCAAACATTTGTGACTTTGCTACTGTTAAATTGAAAATTGATAGTTGAAAAAAAAGGAAATCATTTACCCATACTAGTTACATTCATATGGACGGAATGGATAAGGGCAAAGTAACTAATTCCCTTGTAAGAGACAACAAATTAACAATAAAAAAGTATTTCAATCATATATACGTAAATATCAACTTCAGTAGTAATATGTACTAGTAGTACTAGTACTACTAAGTAGTAGGCCATATCTACCGCATAGCTATTTCAAATTTTCGTTGTATTCTAATGACACTACTTGTGAGGATTGAACGGTCCACAAATTATTGTCAAAACCACTAAACCAACACCACTATTCCGGTAGTCACATCACATATATATTATACATAATACGTAGTACATATCAGTCAAGTTGATCCACCCACCACCATACTAGCACTAGCAGATCCATGGCCAAGTATCTCATCAAAGTTTGGCATCGGGTATGGAGGTTTTCACTATCAAATGTTTCACATATGGACGTCCGGACAGCATGGTGCCTAGTACAGATGTCCTACCTTTTTCATAGTCTGTATTATTTTCCTTCCGTTTTCATAGATTGGGATGTACTTCCTTTTTGGTAGTTTTTGTCATAATTATATTTCATAATTATTTTCGCTCGCTGTACATGTTTTCACT